ATATAATTGAATCTTGTTTCATAAAAAGCAGTTTTGAAAATAATATGAATATTTCCTTTGGTTTATATAAATTAGATCCATTTATAATAGAATTTCGGAAGAATTTAATAATACATTGGACAAATAATAAATTTTAAAATTCTTAATTCTTGGGTAGAATAGTGTGTTCGTGGGTTATGTGAAGGACCTGTCTAGTTTGGCCAGTGGGCCTGCTGCAATGTTCTTATGAGTAGCGCGTCAGGTGTTGCTTTGTTGTGGGATGTGATAGTGAGGTGTGGGCTAGACCCGTTATATGCCTTCCTTTGATGCATTACTTTCATTGTTCCTTGATAATGTGAGTAGTCACGAAATCGCTTGGAATTTCTCTCTTCTTTCACAGTGGTTGTTTTGCATATATATTATATATATATTATATATATATATATATATATATTATATATATATATATATATATATATATGTCGTGCCGAATATGTAAAAACTGGTCAATTAGCAAGAACTCATTTAAAATTAAGTCCTTTATAAAATTTTCTCTTATACGTTTAAAGATATATTTTTTTTCATTAATGTTGATGTAAAAAATTATAATTTTGCACCAAAAGAATCTTAGAAAACTTACCTAACCTTATTATAACAAGAGCAATTTATTTTAGCCTAACCCAACTAAATATATTTTAGATTTGTTTACAATAATTTAATACTAAACAAACACAGTGAAATATATTTTTTTCGTTAGGTTCAGAATGATTTTGGCGAAATTATTGCATACACAAATTTTCACTTGTCCTATATGGCAAGATGAGCGTTGCTATTTAAGCCAAGATCGCAAGTTCTGCCTATTCGGCACGACATATATATTATATATATTATATATTTATATATATATATTTTATATATATATATATATATATTTATTTATATATATATATATTATATATATATTTTATATTATTATATATATATATATATTTATATATTATATATATATATTTTATATATATATATATATATGTCGTGCCGAATAGGTAAAACTTGCTTAAATAGCAACGCTCTTCTTGCCGAATACGACAAGCGAAAATTTGTATATGCAATAAATTCGCGAAAATCATTCTGAACCTAACAAGAAAAATATATTCCATTGTGTTTGTTTATTGTTAAATTATTGTAAACTTATCTAAAATATATTTAGATAGATTAGGCTCAATTAAATTGCTCTTGTTATTATTAGGTTAGGTAAGTTTTCTAAGGTTCTTTTGGTAAAAATTTAATTTGTACATTAATATAAATGAAAAAAATCTATCTTTAAGCGTCTAAGAGAAAATTTTGGAAAGGCCTTAATTTTTAGTAAGTTCTTGCTAATTGACCAGTTTTACCTCTTCGGCACCACACCCACTATGACTGCACAACGTCACAGTACCATGACTGCACAACGTCACAGTACCATGACTGCACAACGTCACAGTACCATGATGCACAACGTCACAGTACCATGACTGCACAACGTCACAGTACCATGACTGCACAACGTCACAGTACCATGACTGCACAACGTCACAGTACCATGACTGCACAACGTCACAGTACCATGACTGCACAACGTCACAGTACCATGACTGCACAACGTCACAGTACCATGACTGCACAACGTCACAGTACCATGACTGCACAACGTCACAGTACCATGACTGCACAACGTCACAGTACCATGACTGCGCAACGTCACAGTACCATGACTGCACAACGTCACAGTACCATTTGTAGATGAATGGTTCAGAGAACCGACATGTTGATAAAATAGACACATGTGCAACTCTTGGGTATCTTTATTGAGGAAACGTTTCGCCACACAGTGGCTTCATCAGTCCATACGTAGGAGAAACTTGAAGAACAGGAGGAGAATGAGGTAATCCGTCCCTCAACCTTGAGTCGATGTGTTCAGTCCATCAATTTTGAATAGAATACGGCATATGAGCTGAGAAGCAGCTTATAAACCGTATGGCAGGAGAGGTGTAGCAGTCATAGGTGGTGTCACATTTGTTCAATGTGGAAGTAGGTCGTGCCCAAGAATTAGGCAAGCGAAGAATTCCTAAGTATTAAGATCCCAAGAAGTTGCAGTGTCTGACAGGTTTGTAGATGATTCCAGGACCAACACTGGTTCCTGGGCCAACACTGGTTCCTGGACCAACTTACAGCCTGGGTTAAAGGAGCAAAATTCAGAAGGTTTGTTATTCCTGTCTTTCCTATTGTTTGGAGCGGTTTTTAGGTTGGCCTTAGCCAGTTGACGTGCAATCGTGATGTAGGATCGTAGGGAGTCTTTCTGGCGTATTCTCCCAACCATCCTTCCTTGAGCACGTATAGTGGACGTCTTACATTATGCCCAAAAATCAGCTTCTGCACAGTTTCTCGCATTGAAAACATCAACAGAGGAAGCGATTCGAATCATCTGTCTGTAGGAAAATGCATGCAATACGTACGCATCATAGTTGTTAATATTTGATGAAACCTTTCCAAGGCGCCTTGGGACTAAGGATGATAGGCTGTGGACAGTTTTGATTAATTCCTAGCACAAATAACCCGCACATAGGAGACAGGAGCTTACGACAACGTTTCGGTCCGACTTGTACCATTTACAAATTCACGCTGACACGAAAGAGAGATGGAGGCCAGCTGGCAGGACGGGACAAGAGAGGTGGGAGGAGTAGTTGTGGTAGTGGTGAGGTAGTGGAAGCAGTAGAAGGGTAGGACTGGTAGTGGAAATAGTAGTCAAAGAAGTAGTAGTTGAGTGTATGTCCTTTGTAAAGTAAGGAGAGTGATTGGTGGGACAAGAATAGAAAGGGAGACCGAAGGGTGAAGGGAGGTAAAAGTGAATGTAAGGGCCAAAGGTAGTAGGTAAGGAAATTAGTAGTGTGGGCAGTCAAAGGCCAAGAAAGAGGAGCACTGCAGGAGAGCTCAGGACCCGCAAGGGGTAAGACCAAAAACATGGGGGAGTGGGGTGAGTAAGGACAAAACACCCAAGGCAGAATAAAGGAAACCCAAAACAAGAAAAAAGAAAAATAGGAAATGAGAAGAGGTGGAGAGTGGAGTAGAAAATAACCAGGTTAAGTCACGAGTGTTCTGAAGTTTGGAACATTTCACAATGTAATGGGAAAGGCATCTACGTGACAGAGCCAGGACTAAGATTCGTACAAGGAAAGTTGTGTATAAGGGATGATTCAACAAGATGGCGACTATTAAAGTTGGAAGTAGAGTAGACAGTTTTAGCAGAAGAGCAGTCAGTAGGATGACCGTGATCTAACGTCATCGTAATCTCCTCTCTCCTGTGTGCGGGTTATTTGTGTTGTTCCAGTCACGGTATTGTGCCTTTTTGTTCTTCATTAATTCTTAGCCTAGTTAAAATTTCTCTTCATGCTTTTGCTGTGAAATTAGTGCCCTGGTCACTTTGAATAGATCGTGGAATGCCAATGAGGGCTTGAAAATGGCCTTACTATTAATACTAAGTATAGGTACTGCAGCAGGATACCTAGTAGTTTTGTCAAAAATGGTAAACAGATATTGGTTACCTGACTTGGCCTTAGGTAAGGGTCACACACAGTGGATGATTATGTCGGAAAATGGCTCTCCATCAGCGGGTATGGGACGAAGTGGTGCGGGATTAATGTAGTGTCTGGATTTATCCACGACAGGATCGGATGCAATTTAGCACCTCTCGTCTTATACCTGGCCAATAAAAATGCTGCAGTATCCTATAAAGGGTTTTAGTGACACCTAGATGTCCTCTTAAGGACGAATTGTGACTACTTTCAGGACCTGAGGTCTGAATTAATTTGGTACTGCCAGTCTATCTGGTGTTTACACTTAGCCTACCTTCTAACTAGTAGCCGGACTAAATAGTAAATGACTGTTCGGGACATATTTAGCAAAGTGATTGGAGCTGATGCTAGAGAGAAGTCCCTTTGTTGCACCTCTCGAAAGGACCGTCTCTCGGGCATGGAAAAAGAAATGTCTGGCAATCCTGCGACCCTGGAATAGGAAGGCTTGATCAGGGATTTTTCACTAGATTTGCGAGGCCCTGGCCAGTTTTCCTCATAAAATAAATTGTTTAGCCCTAGATCGCAGTCCTCCAAGGATAGGCCAGCATTCTTCTCAGATTTTCCTTTGTACATTGCCCGAGTTATGGCCAACATCAGAGAAGAGGCTTCGGAGGATACAATGGGCTCGGGACAGCATCTAGAATTTAGAACACTGTTGCCAAACAACAATATAGCATCTTTCATGGGGAATTTCCCAGACACACCGCGTATACAGTCACGAAGGTGTGCAACAGTAAGAGTATGTTGATACTCTATACTAACAGAAAAAGCAATACGCCAGCAGTGCTGGCGTATTGCACTATAACAAAACGCTAACCTTTGCAATGCGCTCAACGCAGTACGAAGCCGAAGGCAGGCTTGTAGATCTAGACAATGCCGAGACAATGACTTTAGGACAGGCGCTCCATATTACAAACACAGGTGTAATCGTGTGGCTTACACACCTGGTTGTTGCACAATAACCAATGTAAAAATGAGGAACCAGCAAAAGTCAGCAGTGAGTATATACAAGACGTACTTGTACATATTTCCTTCACCAAACAGCAAGCAAGGATTTGTATAATATATTTACAATATGTACAAAGCAAGTTTTGCAAGCAAGAGAGACAGTGAGAACTGTGGGCGGCCAGACTTGAGGTAAGTCTGCCAACTTCTATTCACGAGTATCCAATATCGCTTTACAACTTTGGCGGGCTTCCTTGTGATTGGCTGGATTGAATCAAGATGCTAGCATAACAAGGGGGCCCCATCTTGTTATACTCTTAGCACCTGGTTAGCTGGTTGGGAGGGCATGGGTGTGTAACATACGCCGAATAAAATATGACGTACTGTTAGCATGCCACAACAATTATAGAAATAAGGTAGAGAGAGACAGATAACACGGGAACGTTGAACAAGATCAATGATACAATCCGAAGTTTCTGGTGAAAAGTTCTCTTGGTGCAATCAAGAGGTTGGAGACGAGAGGAGTGTAGATGCGCGAGTCAGAGAGCCATGCTTCAGCTTTTCCGACGTAATCCTCGCGATTAAAGACAACCACCGGATTGTCTTGGTCAGAAGGAAGGATAGTAGTATTAGCTGATAGCGACGAGGAAGCTTGTGATTCATAGTCAACAAGCTATCAAGAACAGGAATAACACGAAAAGTGGACAGGTCAGAAAAATTTTGACTGGTGAAAGGAATCAAAGGAGTTAATCAGTTCAATACCAGAAAGAGGGGAAGGTCAAGCGTAAAAGGAAAGTCCAACACCAAGAGGTTCAAGCTGATGTTGGGAGAGTGTGACATAAGACAAATTAATAACACAGTCAACAGTAAGGAAGAATTTGTACCAAGAGCTGTCAGATTTAAGGCAGTGAAATTTGTTCTGTAATTTAGCAGAGTAAATTTCCGAATTAAGACGAGCAGTGAGGAAAGTAATGATTGTGAGATTACAGAGATCACGTAGGAGAGAGGAAAGGAGAGAACTGTGACCTTGACGATGGATGAAAACTGCAACATCAGCTTGAGATTTAGTAGTAAATATGAGTGTGTTTCAGTAAGAGGCGGACATGATCAGGAAAGGGAAGTGCTCTAGGTGTTGAATTTATGAAAACAGAAAAGGGAAAAGCGCGAGACTTGTTCAGGAAGACTGTCACAGAGAAAGTGAAGCTGATTGTTACGACGCCTGGAAGCAATAAGAGAAGCATCATAGGAACCAAAGAAGGACTGAAAAGATAAAAGAAAATCAAAGAAATTTGAAACAAAAATCAAACGTTTACCTGCTGGGTCTATAAATATTAAAAAGTCACAATTATACTTCTTCTGATACTTTTTATTTGTACCTCTACCACTGCTACTACTTTTGCTACCACTACTATTATTATTACTACTACTACTACTACTACTCACACTACTATTACTACTACCTTTACTTCCACTACCAATACGTATCTCTTCTTCCCTCTCCCCTTCTCACATATATTTTGACCTGCTTCCCTACTCTCTTCATTGTAACTTATCAATGATCCAAGTATGACCGAAATGTAATTATTACTTCCCCTCTTCTAAGTGCTGGTTATTTATGTTCAACATTATCATAACACGTGTTATTGCACTACTGGCGTGTTGGCAGGAGACAGCTGTGAGGGACCATCCAGTCCCTTGACCAAGTACTTGGTGGCAGACTTCGAGAGTGAGGACTGGAACACTGACTGGAGGAAGGTGGTGGGTGGCCAGCTTACTGAGCACTGTGGACCTATCGCTTCAAGACAAGCTTTACACTTCCTCGGGGTCAGTTAGTACCTACCACACCATTATTATTATTAATTTTATTATAATTACTATTGTTATTATTTTCATTATTATTATTATTTTTTATTAATATATTATTATTATTATCATTATTATTATTATTATTAACTATGTATTTTATTATAATTACTATTGTTATTACTTTTATTATTACTATTATTTATATTAATAGGTCATTATTATTATTATTACTATTATTACTATTTTGTTGTTGTGTAGCCCATCATTTCGTTTACTCTCCTACCAACTCTCTTTCTACTGAACCTCCTGCAGGAAAGTCCTCATACCTGTGTAGTCCCCCCTTTTATAGTTCGGTTTTTCCTTTTCTATCCTGTTATCCTCTTCACTTGTAGCTCTACGATATATTCAAAGCTCAGAGGACACTTGGTCACTAGCTCCAAGGGGCCTTTCATATGTGATCTCCTCGATGTCTGAGCTATTCAGGGTGAACACAAGGTCCAGTCTAGCTGGTCCATCCTCCCCTCTCTCTCTGGTAGTTTTCCAGTACCACATCCATCATCTTGGCTCTCCATGTTTCGGGATGCCATGTGGCTCCAGATTTTCCCAGTCGGTCTCCCTGTGGTTGAAGTCGCCCATAACCAGTAACTTTGCTTACTGAGTGAGCTCTTTATGCCACCTCAGCTAGTGTGTCCACCATTGCTCTGTTAGCACTCGTCATATTCCTATCTTGGCCTCCTGCAGTTCTGTGGTGGGTTATACATCGCTGCAATGACTACTTCATGTTCCCCTGACTGAACTGTACCTACTCTGTAATCCCTTTCTCCAATTTCGTCATTCATTCCATTTCTTGATATCCCCACCGGTTTTTAATGAGCAGTGCAACCCCTCCTCTCTCCTGCTCCTCCTATCCTTCCTCAGGATCTGATATCCAGGTGGGAAGATTGCGTCTGTTATTGTCCCAGTGAGTTTTGTTTCTGTGACTGCTATGATGTCTGGGGACATCTCCTTGATTCTTCCATGCCACTCCTCACATTTATTCGTTATTCCATCTGCATTCATGTACCAAACCTTCAGCTTCTTTTCTGTAACTGTGGTCCATTGAGAATGGTGGGTTTGGGGGAGCAGGTGCCCTGATGGGGGCCTACAGGGGGTTGCTGTAGGGGTGGGGTCTGTGGTGTGGGGAGTGAGGGCAGAGGGCCTATGGGAGGTTTCAGTGGGGGTTGTGATGAGGGGGATGGGGGTTGTGGTGGGGGGGATGGGGATAGAGGGTACAGTGTGTGGTTGTGTGGGTTACTGTGGGGGTGGGTTTGTGGGGGTGGAGGAGTGTACAGGTGTGGTTTGTCGGTGGTTGTGTGAGGATGGGGGCAGAGGGTACAGTTAGTGGGTTTTGGGTTGTTTGACTGCTTTGGGAATGCCATGGTTGCGTTCCTTCTGTGGGTGGTACTGGAGAGGGTTGTGTTGGTTCTTCTACCTGGGTCTGGTTTCCCCTGCTCCCCTCCTTCCTTGCCTCCCATTTCTCCTTGCGACGTTGTACCCTCTCTTTCAGTATCATTCTTTCTTCTTCTGTTCTGTCTCGATCAAGGTACACACTCCGGTACTCTGGTTTATCCTAAGACGCGCTTTCTTCTGCAGGATCCGGTTTCAGACTGACTCTCCCTTGAAAATCACTTTGACTGAACGCTTTTTTCCTGTCGCACACCACCCAATTCTCCGAAAATTTGTCACCGGGTCATGTCGTCCTCTCCTATTGCTTTCATGATTCTTTCAATCGTGTGTGTTTGTGTGTGTGTGTGTGTGTGTGTACTCACCTAGTTGTGGTTGCAGGGGTCGAGTCCCAGCTCCTGACCCCACCTCTTCACTGTGTGTGTGCGTGTGTGTGTGTGTGTGGTGTATGTTTGGAAGCCCATACAGGTTGTTCACAGTCTGGTGAGTGTGTGGTATTTCCTCAGAGCTGTAGCAGGTACCTGGAGACCAAGGACCTGGACCTGCAGGATGCACTCTTCGTGCAGTTTGACTTGCGGACAGGGTGCCTGGAGGCCGTGAGAGGTGGCGAGGCAGGTGGAGACCACTCTGTCCTTCTACAAGCCTCCTGTGATGCTGGCATCTCCTGGACCACACTCAGGAAGCTTCTTCTAATCTATCAACAACCAAAGTGAGTCTTCCTCAAGTGACCTTCATTACCTTACAAGTGACCTTTCTTACCTCACAAGTGACATTTCTTGCCTCACAAGTGACCTTCCACACCTCACATGTGACCTTTCTCACCTCACAAATGACCGTCCTTACCTCACAAGTGACCTTCCACACCTCACAAGTGGCCTTCCTTACCTCACAAGTGACCCGTCATAGCTCACAAGTGACCTTCCTTACTTCATAAGTGAACTTTCTTGCTTCACAAGTGACCTTCCTCACTTCACAAGTAACCTTCCCTAATTCACAAGTGACCTTCCTTATCTCACAAGTGACCTCGATCATCTAACAAGTGACCTTCCTTACCTCACAAATGACCTTCCTCATCTCACCAGTGACTTTTCTTGCCTCACAAATGACCTTCATTACCTCATAAATGACTTTTCTTACCTCCCAAGTTACCTTCCTTACGTCAAAAGTGACCTTCGTTCCTCACAAGTAACATTCCTTACCTCACAAGTGACTTTCCTTATCTCACAAGTGACCTTTTTTTTACCTCACAAATGACCGTCGTTACCTCACAAGTGACCTTTCTTACCTCATAAGTGAACTTCCATATCTCACAAGTGACATTTCTTACCTCACAAGTGACTTTCCTTATCTCACAAGTGACCTTTTTTACCTCACAAATGACCTTCGTTAACTCACAAGTGACCTTCCTTACCTCACAAGTGATCTACTTTACCCCACAAGTGACTTTTCTTACCTCGCAAGTGACCTTTCTTGCTTCACAAGTGACCTTACTTCTAAAGTGATCCTCATATCACAAGTGACCTTGCTTACCTCACAAGTGACCTTCCTTACCTCAAATGTGACCTTTCATTACCTCACAAGTGACTTTCTTACCTCTCAAGTGACCTTCCTTACGTCATAAGTGACCTTTGTTACCTCACAAGTGACCTTTCTTACTTCGTAAGTGACCTTCGCTACCTCACAACTGACCTTTCGTACCTCACAGGTGACCTTTCTTACGTCACAAGTGACTTTTGTTACCTCACAGGTGACCTTTCTTACGTCACAAATGACTTTCGTTACCTCACAAGTGACCTTTCATACCTCACAAAATCTAAGTGGATATACTGTAGTGTATATATGTGTGTGTTTATAAGATCTATGTAGGTATTTTATGGTGCACATGTCTGTTTATAAAATGCGTGTAGGTATATTAGCTCTACCACCACTACAAGGAGTGGTAGTAGTACAAGTAGATGTTTAAGCCGGTTGTTGTGGTGGTAGTGACGCATGCGTCTCCCACAGGTACGTGTGGGTGTTGCTGCCGAAGGAGCTGCGGTGTGTGGGCGGCCGCGTGCGGTGGTGGCAACCCGAGGTAGGTGACCGCAACAAATACGACTGGGCGGTGGACGGGGTGGTGGTGGGCGGCAGCGTGGAGCCGCCCCACAACCTCACCTACACCCACCCACAACACCTGGCTCCACCTCTCTGGCTCCGTCGATACAACACTCGTACTGGTGAGTGGCTCTCTTACTGGCACTCTTACTGACACTCTTAGTGGTACTCATAGTGGCACTCTTAGTGGTGCTCTTAGAGGTATTCTTAGTGGCAGTGTTAGTGACACAATCGTACTGTTATTGATACTCTTAGTGGCACTCTTAGTGACTCTCAGTGACACTCTTAATGACACTCTTAGTGACACTCTTAGTGACACTCTTTGTGGCATTCTTAGTGACACTCTTAGTGACACTCTTAGTGGTACTCTTAGTGGTACTCTTAGTGGCACTCTTAGTGACACTCTTAGTGACACTCTTAATGACACTCTTAGTGACACTCTTAGTGGTACTTTTAGTGACACTCTTAGTGACAGTCTTAGTGGCACTCTTAGTGACACTCTTGGTACTCTTAGTGGCACTCTTAGTGGTACTCTTAGTGGTACTCTTAGTGACACTCTTAGTGACACTCTTAGTGGTACTTTTAGTGGCTGTCTTAGTGGTACTCTTAGTGGTACTCTTATTGATACTCTTAGTGACACTCATACTGGTACTCTTAGTAGTATTCTTAGTGGTATTCTTAGTGGCACTCTTAGTGACATCTTAGGGACACTCGTAGTACTACTCTTCGTGGTACTCTTATTGGTGCTCCTAGTGGCACTCTTAGTGACACTTTTAGTGGTACTCTTAGTGGTATTCTTAGTGGTATTCTTAGTGGCACTCTTAGTGACATCTTAGGGACACTCGTAGTACTACTCTTCGTGGTACTCTTATTGGTGTTCCTAGTGGCACTCTTAGTGACACTCTTAGTGGCACTCTTAGTGACTCAGTGACACTCCTAATGACACTCTTAGTGACACTCTTAGTAACACTCTTAGTGGCATTCTTAGTGACACTCTTAGTGACACTCTTAGTGGTACTCTTAGTGGTACTCTTAGTGGCACTCTTAGTGACATTCTCAGTAACACTCTTAATGACACTCTTAGTGACACTCTTAGTGGTACTTTTAGTGACACTCTTAGTGACAGTCTTAGTGGCACTCTTAGTGACACTCTTGGTACTCTTAGTGGCACTCTTAGTGGTACTCTTAGTGACACTCTTAGTGACACTCTTATTGGTACTCTTAGTGATACTTTAATGGCTGTCTTAGTGGTACTCTTAGTGGTACTCTTAGTGGTACTCTTAGTGGTACTCTTATTGATACTCTTAGTGACACTCATACTGGTACTCTTAGTAGTATTCTTAGTGGTATTCTTAGTGGCACTCTTAGTGACATCTTAGGGACACTCGTAGTACTACTCTTCGTGGTACTCTTATTGGTGCTCCTAGTGGCACTCTTAGTAACACTTTTAGTGGTACTCTTAGTGGTATTCTTAGTGGTATTCTTAGTGGCACTCTTAGTGACACTCTTAGTGACTCTTCGTGGTACTTTTATTGTACTCCTAGTGGCACTCTTAGTGACACTCTTAGTGGTACTTTTTGTGGGACTCTTAGTGGGACTCTTAGTAACACTTTTAGTGGCACTCTTTGTGGTACTCTTAGTGGTAATCTTAGTGTCACTTAGTGGCACTCTTATTGGTACTCTTGGTGACACTTTTAGTGACACTCTTAGTGGCACTCCTAGTGGCATTCTTAGTGACACTATTAGTGGCACTTTCAATGGCATTCTTAATAACACTATTAGTTGTACTCCTATTGGTGTTGAATTAGACACATGTGTAACTCTTGGGTATCTTTATTGAGGAAACGTTTCGCCACACAGTGGCTTCATCAATCCATACATAGGAGAAACTTGAAGAACAGGAGGAGAATGAGGTAATCAGTCCCTCAACCTTGAGTCGATGTGTTCAGTCCATCAATCCTGAATAGAATACGGCATATGAGCGGAGAAGCAGCTTATAAACCGTAGACAGGTGAGGGGCAGCAGTCGTAGGTGGTGTCACATTTGTCCAATGTGGAAGTAGGTCGTGGCCAAGGGTTAGGCAAGTGAAGAATTCCCTAGTTTTAAGATCCCAAGAAGTTGCAGTGTCTGACAGGATTGTAGATGAATGGTTCAAAGAACCGACATGTTGTTAAATTAGACACATGTGCAACTCTTGGGTATCTTTATTGAGGAAACGTTTCGCCAGACAGTGGCTTCATCAGTCCATACGAAGGAGAAACTTGAAGAACAGGAGGAGAATGAGGTAATCAGTCCCTCAGCCTGTCTACGGTTTATAAGCTGCTTCTCCGCTCATATGCCGTATTCTATTCAGGATTGATGGACTGACCACATCGACTCAAGGTTGAGGGACTGATTACCTCATTCTCCTCCTGCTCTTCAAGTTTCTCCTTTGTATGGACTGATAAAGCCACTGGGTGGCGAAACGTTTCCTCAATAAAGATACCCAAGAGTTGCACATGTGTCTTATTCAACAACATGTCGGTTCTCTGAACCATTCATCTACCACTCCTATTGGTATTCTTACTGGCACTCTTAGAGACATTTCTAGCGGTACTCCTAGTGGTAATCTTAGTGACACTCTTAGTTGTGTTCTTAGTGGCAATCTTAGTGGTGCTCTTGGTGGCACTCTTAGTGATACTCTTAGTGGACTAAGAGTGACACTCTTACTGGCACTCTTAGTGACACTCTTAGTGGTACTTTTAGTGACAGTGACACTCTTATTGGTAATCTTAGTAGCACTATCTAGTGCCATTCTTAGTGGTACTTTCAGTGACACTCTTAGTGGTACTCTTAGTGACGCTAGTGACAGTGGCTCTCTTAGTGGCACTCTTATTGTCACTCTTAGTTACACTCTTAGTGGTACTCTTAGTGACACTCTTCGTGGCACTCATAGTAACACTATTAGTGACACTCTTAGTGGCACTCTTAGTAACACTCTTAGTGACACTCTTAATGACACTCTTAATTACACTCTTAGTGGTACTCTTAGTGACAATCCTAATAGCAATCTTGGTAATACTCTTAGTGACACTTTTAATTGTACCCTTAGTGGTACTCTTAGCTACACTCTTAGTGACACTCTTAGTGGCGCTCTTAATGACAGTGGCACTCTTAGTGACTGTGAGGGAAAAGTTCAACATATAGGAGTAGCGAGCGAAGTATATAGTGATGATTGTTGGATTGGCAGATCAGTGTCTTGTTACCCCTATCCCCTTTCCCTTTCCACCGGGAAGGTGAAGTGATGGGGCTCCGACCAAGGGTTATTAATCACTGGGACTCGCAGCTGCCAGCACAACTATTGGAATGTCAGCTCGGCGTCATCTGGCAACCAAAGTAAGAACACTGCTGTTGGAGAACATACTTTACGAAGTTCGGGTACCTGCCATACCTAAGGTTGTATCCAACCCAGGCAACTACCTGTCATCTTTGCGTGGTGGAGAAGCTGTGTTCCTTATCATCTTGGACTTTTTCAAGGCTAGTGACTGTGAAGAATAACTAGTTACCGTTTTGGGGTTTGTTTTTTCAACATCCGTGGACACCCCCCCCATCTTCCGCAACGGCTACAATTTCTACAACCCGCGGTGTCAACAACACCAGACACCACAGTCTAACTGTACATATTAGCGTTGAATTCAGATATTATTTTTATATTTCATTTTCCATTTCTCTTTCAAGTAGGATAAAAATTCATAATTAATTGCTTTATATTTTCATTTCTAAATGATAAAGTGTTTATATTAGACTGTTATTATTCTTTTTCTGTTCATTAATTTTCCTGAGGAGGAGCCAGCCTTGGTAATACTGAAGTTGTTGGAGGAGCCAGGCTTGGTAATACTGAAGTTGTTGGAGGAGCCAACCGTGGTAATACTGAAGTTGTTGGAGGAGCCAACCTTGGTAATACTGAAGTTGTTGGAGGAGCCAGGCTTGGTAATACTGAAGTTGTTGGAGGAGCCAACCTTGGTAATACTGAAGTTGTTGGAGGAGCCAACCTTGGTAATACTGAAGTTGTTGGAGGAGCCAACCTTGGTAATACTGAAGTTGTTGGAGGAGCCAGGGGGACTGGTAATACTGAAGTTGTTGGAGGGGCCAACCGTGGTAATACTGAGTTGTTGGAGGAGCCAACCTTGGTATATTGTTAGTGTTGGAGGAAGCCAGCTTGTAATACTGAAGTTGTTGGAGGAAGCCAAACGTGTAATAATGAAGTTGTTGGAGGAGCCAGCCTTGGTAATACTGAAGTTGTTGGAGGAGCCAGCCTTGGTAATACTGAAGTGTTGGAGGAGCCAGCCTTGGTAATACTGAAGTTGTTGGAGGAGCCAGCCTTGGTAATACTGAAGTTGTTGGAGGAGCACAACTTTGGTAATACTGAAAGTTGTTGGAGGGAGCCTAACCTTGGTAATATGAAGTTGTTGGAGGAGCCAGCCTTGGTAATACTGAAGTTGTTGGAGGAGCCAGCCTTGGTAATACTGAAGTTGTTGGAGGAGCCAGCCTTGGTAATACTGAAAGTTGTGGGAAGGAGCCAACTTTGGTAATACTGAAGTTGTTGAGGAGCCAACCTTGGTAATACTGAAGTTGTTGGAGGAAAGCCAGCTTGGTAATAATGAAGTTGTTTGGAGGGAGCCATCCTTGGTATTACTGAAAGTTGTTGGAGGAGCCAGGCTAGGTAATACTGAAGTTGTTTGGAGGAAGCAACCTTGGTAATATGAAGTAGTGGGAGGATGGAGGAGCCAACCTGTGTATTACTGAAGTGTTGGAGGACGCCAGCCTTGGTAATACTGATGTTGTTGGAGGAGCCACTCTTGGTAATTATGAGTTGTTGGAGGAGGAGCCAGCCTTGGTAATACTGAAAGTTGTTGGAGGATCCAAACTTGGTTTATACTGAAAGTTGTTGGAGGAGCAACCGTGGTTATACTAAGTTGTTGGAAGGAGCGCACCTTGGTAATACTGAAGTGTTGTGAGGAGGCCAAACCTTGGTAAATTACTGAAGTTGTTGGAGGAGCCAACCTTGGTAATACTGAAGTTTGTTGAGGGGCCTGCATTGGTAATACTGAAGTTGTTGGAGGAGCCAACCTGTAATACTGAA